TCGACCCGGTCGTCACCACCCGCCACCGACTCTTCTCGATGAGAGCGGTGACGTCCACTATTACGTGAAACGTCTAGTGAGACGACGTCGTCACCAGGGTCAAACCCAATATCTGGTGACGTGGCGAGGATGTCCCGACTCCGAAAACTAGTGGGAGTTTGAGACGCCACTTCGGCAGGATTGCCCAGACGCCATGGACGCTTTTGATCAGAAAGATCAGGACGCCCAGCGTCATCAGACGCCGTGCGCTTCCCGGCAATAGCCAGGGAAGTAGACGGGCCATGAGCTGAGCTCAAGCAGTGGCCCTGAGATCTTGTGGTCGAAGACACAGAGCTCGCGGGAGCATTAGGGGATAACACATACGTCACAGGGCGACAATCCGAAGGAAGTCGACGGTGTGCCTTGAGTGTGGCAAACTCAAATCGGAGGTATCGCTCCACACGCACGTCCACTTCCTTGTGGCTCAACTGGAAGTTATACAATGAAGAAAGTTTCCGGTGCCGTTGCACCCATCGCTCAAAGAGCGCTTCGTCATCTGTAGCGCTTTTGCCAGGGGCGAGCACAACAGGTATTGTTCGCATTGCGATTACACGAGAGCCACCTCATTTCGCACGTAAACGAGTACGATAAGCTTCCAATGAAAATTCTTGTGGAACCAAGAAGCGAGCACGAAGAGCTGTCCGATCGGCAAGCTCATCTTCCGAAATGGCCGGGGGGGGGCTGATGATGTGGAGGCGTAACGGTCGAGCTACCGCATCCTTCGCATCCGCAGCGGGATCCGCCGGCGGAAGCCATATTCCACACGAGGGTACATGACCTGCCGTGGATGGGCGCGCATCAGAGCCGCCTTACGGGCAGCTTCCAGCTCCCGCATCTGTGCCTCATCGAGTTTATTGGTGATGACACCGCGTCCTTCAGGTGATGAAAAGTCAGGGAATGGCCATGGGGTCCGCAAGGCGCAAGCAGGGCTCGTATTCACGCTGCTGGCGCAGCTCGCTTTCCTCGTCATTCCACCCGGGAAGAGGAGTGTCAGACTCGTGGTCGACCACCTTCACATTCACAACGAGGTCTTTCGTCACTGATAGCGTGAAGGGAGCGCGACGCTCGGGCTCATCCAGCCTAGATTTACATACCTCGATGCCGCAGACGTACTGTCCGACATTGCACCGCGTGCAGGAGACGAATTTGGGCTCTGCCGTGTGCGCTGTCAGAATCAGCGAGACTTAGTTACTTCAGTGTCGTTGATACAAGGTTCATTGAGCACGGAAGTCGTTTTGTTCCAACGAACCCAGTTGCAGAGTCTAGCGGACACGCAAGCCTCGTTGAGGCAATAATCGATTGGAGCTGTAAATGCCCCCAATCTTAATGGGGGAGAGTGTAACGGGGTTACACATACCTAGGTAACAGGGGTGTGTGTCACACGAGATGGGCATGGTGTGACTGCACCCAAATAAGAA